GTTTAAGAGATTTAATATATATATTTAAATATTTATATATTTATTTTAATTGCTCATGAAAAAAAATCAGGGCTGAACTAGTTTGACGAGTAAGCGGCCATAATAAACGCAGCGTCTTCGCCGCCGTCTCGTAGTCGTGCAAGCGATAGCTTGATAAATACCAGTTATCTTGTCTATTCCTGCCCCAACAGCACCGGGTCAGGACTGCGGAGGGGGCATATCTGCTACATCAAACTATGCTAACTGCTGTGACGCGGTATCAAACCGCCGTCTGTTAGCGTGCCGCTAACCTTGTCGAATCTCTTGATTATCCACCTGTCCCAGTGGGTGAGCATGTCCAGCCATTTGAGCTCCCTCTGTCTGAGCACGGCCGGAGGGACGTCCTGAGCTCTGGATATTTGGGATGGACAAAAGAGAAAAAAAACAGATTAGCAATTAGACATTAGCGGTTTAAACAATTGTACGAAGTGAAAACGTGAAACGCCGTTTGTTTTTTTTACATGGGCGTGTGTTTAGTAGACGATGAAACCAACAAACAAAGGTTGGTTTCACCAACGATGAAATTATGGTTTCATCGTTGTGTTAAATTTTTTTTTTTTTTAATCAAAGCTGTGACGTTCTTCTGCAGAACGAGCTCTAAAGCACTTTAACTTGCCGTGTAATTATGTCGCTGGCAGAAAGCTGTAATTGCAGGGTCAACTGGCTTCAAAGTGTTCTTTGATTTAAAAAAAAAAGTAGTAGGTTGTATGTCGTAGCAGCATTATTAGACTTTTAGTGATTCCGAAGGACCCCCCAAAACAGTAATTAGTAGCTTTCACTTCCAGATAAAGCTAGAAAAGTTAAACCCCTGAGTCAAACAGAGAAAAAAAAAATAAAAAATTTTGAAGCCAAAAGAAACCAGGGTGCCAGGGCTGTGGCCTCGAAGTCTGCCAAAAACTTCAGAACACAGACACTCCCAGAGAAGCATGCAGTGCCTGGCACAACTTTTTTTTCTTTTTTCCCTCCTATCACTATTTTTGCCCCACAGAACAGGCTTTTTATAGCTGTGAGGCGAGAGATCAAAAAACACCCAAAATGGGTTTCGGTTAAACCCTTTTAAATGGAAACCATGCGGCGGCGCTGTCAGTAAAAAGTAATGTTTAGGGGGAAAAAATTTAATAAATAATTGTTTTAATTAAGCTAATAATGACTAGTCAACTAACGACGTCATTATGGGTAATTTTAATGTCGATGTTGTCAACGGTCAAATGTAGCATCTGGACTCGTCTAGCAAAGAGTTTTTCCCCATAGAATTAACGGTTTTAATTGTTGTCAAAATGAAAAAAATCTGATAAAAATGTCTTATAAGCATCTTTTAAATTATTGTCAGGCAACTGTCATCAAATATTAACTTTTTTTTCTCTGTAATTATCCGTGTCTGCTGTCGTGTTTAGCTAGCTAAATGTTTGTGTTCGGTGTTTTATGTTGTCTGCTAACTGCTAACCTTTTAGCTCGTTATGCTAAATAATTTAAGCATTAACTCTCCCTTCCACACGTTATGTCTAACTTTTTCTAAAATAAATTTACGTTTTGGTGACTTTTTAAAAAAAAACTTTTAGCAAATACTTGGGGAAACTTTTAGCTAATTCGGTTAAATTTGACTGCCGCTGAGTTGTTTCAGTAGTATAGCTAGGTGTACGTTAGCTAGCAGCGACGAAATAAAAGAACTTTAGCGTGACACGGGAGGAAACAGTAAACCCAAGGGTGTGTTTATATTATATTGTTGACCACGGACTGTCTGACTGAGTCAGACCATGGGCAGATGTAGAAACCCCGGGTGCCACGCAGCTGGTTGGGGAGAGGCAGCGACACCACGACAACAAAACTAACTCCGGGAGTTCTACGTCGTTACGAAACTACGTTAACAAAACACAACACAAATAAAGATAATTTCCAAAATGGCCGTTGTCTCAAATGTAGTATTTTGTCTGTCGAAAAAAAAAGTTGCTGAAGTTTGAACTTACGACTCCTCCGTGTACTGCTGAGCTCCGCCGATGAATCCATATTTGTCCGTTCGTCTATCGCTGGTGAAGCCGTTGATCTCGGAGTCGGAGCCCAGGGAGCTCTCGTCGTCTATGTGGCTGCTGCTGACGGTTCGGATACTCCGGGTGTCCACGGACTCGCGGCCGTTTTCTATTTTGGCCATAGAAACGGAGACACACGGCTAGCCGCCTAGCCAGCGTTCACCTAAGGCAAGCGAGCTCGTTGACAGCCGACCGTCAAAAGTGCTGCTCCCCAGCATACGCTGCTCGATCAAACCGCAACGACGTCATTGTATCTCCGCATTTAATTTTTACTTCTTCTTTTTTTTACTTTTTACGCAAATGAAATGCTATCATATGGTTCGCCACGACAGGACGACGTTTGTATCAGTCAGCTGGGAAAAAAAGGCGAACTTTTTCACAAAAGCAAAGGGTTATCTCGTTAATCATAAACTGCTAACGCGCTTAGCATTTAACTAAAAAAAAAAAGATTTCGGCAGTGCTCTTTAAGTTGCCTTTATATTCAGCAACTACATATGACAGTAAGTTATTGTTTAAAAAATAAATAAATCCAACCGATGGAGTCTCTGTTGTCAAATCATCCCATAGAAGTCTGCTGATCCCGGGCTACTGAGAGACTCAGTGTCGCCCTGGGCTGTTTTCAACACTGTCTATCCTTCACTCCCCCTAGTGGTTTCACTCGGAGACAGTTTTTTTTTTAATGTTTGAAATGTGGATTATTACATTACAAATAATAAACTTTGCGTGACTCTAATCTCTAAACCAAAAATAAATGAATAAATCGTATTCCTTGTTAAGGTCTGATATGTATTTTTTTTATTTCACAATTTTTATAATTATAACGAAATACACAGGGAAATCTGATCCTAATTATACAAGTCCAGTAAAAATCGAACTTTATTCTCAGAATTCGGCCGTAAAAAAAAAATGTTAAAAATAAATAAATAAACTAAAAAATTTTTTAAAAACTTTTAAAAAAATTAAAATTAAATTAAAAAAAAAACTTAAAAAATTACTTCGGCCGAGCACCAGAAACTTTTTTATTTTCCCATGTCCCTTTAAGAGCTCCGTTGAGCTAAGTGAAAACTAAATTTTATATTTAACGTCCGATTTCAGAAAGAAAAAAAATTCCATCCATTATCTACCGCTTATTCCCTCGGCCGCGAGGGGTCGCTAGAGTCAAAGCCAGCTTTGGATGCCTTTAAATAATAGAAAATTTTCAGAAATCAAAAATAAAAATGATTAGATTTTAATGTCAGATTTAAGGTGAAACAACAAGAGATTTAATTTTACTACAAACTTTACTTAATTAACGTAACATAAACAAACGTAGAAACTGATGAATTAATGTCCAACTCCGCCCCAATCATGTCAAAGTTAAACCTTAGCCCCCCCCTGTTCTTAATGCATCACTACCAATAACATTTCAGCATCTACTGCGCCATCTTCAGGTCTATAAATGGAAGACATAAAAATCATATTTTTTTTTATTTGAAACTATTTTAATAACACATGTCGATACAGTCAGTTTCTCCATCTTCAACAAATTAAAGTTTGTCATCAACATACTTTTCCGTG